ATTTATAATATTTATGAATAGAATTAGCTTCTGTTCCACGTATTTCATTTTTCTTCCTTATAGACTACATGTAGGCATTTAGTTTTATAATACTTTGAAATTTTTTTTACATTTATCAATTAGGTCATTATTTATACTACTTTGCTTAGTATTGATAATGTCATTTCAGAATAACATTGTTCATCTCCATAGATCTGGGTTTCGTTGATATTTGGGAATGGCTTTAATATTTCTTTGTTCACAGGTCTTCCATATAGAATGTGTTTTCTTAGTTTCAACTGCTCCTTCTAATTGTACTTAATTCAGGAATATTTGGGATTTGGTTTTGGGGATAGGTTCTCTCTGTGCATTGTTTTCACATTACCCTAAAACAGCTGACAGTTTATGGATGTATTGGGAAGTCACTAGATTTTATTGTGTTTCTTACTATCGTCCATGCTTTCTATTAAAATGCTTATTTAAAATAGCCCAATGTTTTGCCTTTGGTTTTGGGAACATTAAACTTAAGTGCATCCTGTCAATCAAATATGTGTCTGTTCAAAGAGAATCAAAAAGAAAAGCAATTGAAAACTCCAGTGCAGTGCAGCGTTGTTATGTTTTATTGAAAAGAGTATTTAAAAAGCCAGATATTGTGGTGCCAGATACATTACTTTAATGGTTGACTCCTTGGCATCCTGTCAAAAGGTAGAACTTGTATCTGGAATAGCCTGATGGGATAAAAATGTCAGAGCTTTGATTTTACTGCCTCTGACTGCAGAACACTGTCCAAGTTTTACCTGGTTCACCCTGCAAACGGTCATGTTTTCAGCACCATCCATGGAAGTTTTGTGGAGAAAGTTATCCAGGACCACAGGAAACATCACTTTAATGGTGTCCTTTGATTACCTGAATAAGCTTTAAATTAAAAACGGCTTTCGAATACTTGAACATGAGTTAAATTCCAACCTAGACTTAACTGATCTATTCTCCAAATGAACTCAGTAGAATCTCGTGAAAATATCTTTATCTTTTTAAAAATATATATATCTTTATTGATTTCAGAGAAAGGAAGGAAGAGAGAGAGAGAGAGAAACATCAATGGTGAAAGAGTCATTGATCGGCTGCCTCCTGCATGCCCCCCACTGGGGATGGAGCCCGCAACCCAGGCATGTGCCCTGACCTGAAATTGAACTGCGATCTCCTGGATCCTAGGTCAATGCTCAAGTAATGAGCCACCGGGGCCAGGCTCTTTGTTATCTTTACTTGAAGCTTTTGGATGAGTGAATGAAGTCTCAGTAAGCATATTTTAGAGCATAATTCCCTTTAACCACATTTATTTCTCTCTATTGTAATGAATATTTTTATATCTGGCTTTCCGCTAGGCAGAAACAATACCTTTGCATCTTCGGTAGTAGAAGTGATGCAGCTGGGTTACCCCGAAGAACTCAAATGCCTCCTCTGCAAAATGGGCCAAAGCCACATAGCAGTAGGTGCATGTCACAACGTAAGTGAAACACTTGTGCCTGGTATTCAGCGGATGCCAGCTCCCTTTCTCTTCCTGAGAAGTCAGTGGGCCATTCTCCACAAATTACTCCAACTTACACATCCCTTGGTAACTTGCCTTAGTGACCCTCCAAACATCAATTTAGAAGGAGTTGTACGTAGAGAATGAGGGGGAAGAAGAGAGGGAGTTACCAAACACCGAGCACTTGCTTTAAGCCTGAGACACGCTGTGGTGCCTCAGACTTTCGGTTGTTTCTGGTCCCATAGCTCTTCACTGGAAGAAAGTATAGTCGAGTGGTTAAAAGCTTTGCCTGCGGAATCATATTGAAAGTGTTCAAATACCAGGCTTTACACTTGATAGTCATGTGCACTTGGGAAAATTGTCCTCTCTCAGCCTTAATTTTCCCTGGAAAATTTGAATGAACTTTAATGTTCATACATATAGGGTAGTTGAGGGGATCAAATGAGATTAATGAAAATAAAGTGTCTATACGAGACCCTGGCACATGGTAAAATTTGTTAAATCATTCCCCCAGTGTTAGCGATGAGGTTGAAGGTAGGGAATGGGGGACAAATGCAGTGATTAATGCTATTAATGCTAATAATGCTATTAATGCTGATACCATTTGCTAGCTTTCTGACAACAGGGAGAGGTTGATAAAATTTAATATGGATTTGTTTTTATTTTCTTGTCTCTCTCTTTTTTAAAAAAATATATCTTTATTGATTTCAGAGAGAGGAAAGGAGAGGGAGAGAGAGAGATAGAAACATTAGTGATGAGAGTCATTGATCGGCTGCCTCTTGCACGCGCCCTACTGGGGATCGAGCCCACAACCCGGGCATGTGCCCTGACCAGGAGTCGAATCCAGATCACCTGGATCCTAGATCGACGCTCAACCCCTGAGCCACACCCAGCAGGGCTCTTATCTCTCTTAATAAGTCAGTGGCATCTGTTGTCAGCTCTGGTAAACTTAGAAGTGAAAAGGGCATTCTGAGCTGCCCAAAGAGAGTGGCAAGCTAGGGAAGGGTGATTATCTGTTCGCCCACTGACTTCCTACACTGTGAATACTGCCTAGTTTAATGGCCAGGTAGCTGAGCACTTGGCTTGCAGTGCCCCAGGTGAGACCATATATGTCCAACCAGTTGTTCTTGATCACAACGAATGGAAATGTGAAAAATGTGAGTAGTTTATGAGCATTCACAAAGTTGTTAAGAAGACACAAGTCTTGTTTATGTTTTCTACAAAAAGAAAACACAGTATGTGTAATCCCTTGCTCATGGTTTTAGAGGAATTGTAAAGGAAAGATAATTAGCTACATGTATATTTACTGAGTTGTTTCCTTCAGGAAAGAGTGCATGTCATTTAGAGGGATGATGCCAGGATAATATAAAATTGACTGTCAGTGTAAAAAAAATCATCCACAGTATTTTCTCAATCAGGTGACATAACTTATCACACTTGTAGATGGAATGAAGATTGAGAGGGAACCTAGTGTCTTCCCTAGTGGCTCAAAATGACAGGTCTGGGCACACAGCCTGGCCTGTAACCAGTCTCTCCTTTCTGTATCAGTCTTTGTTTCCCCACCCACATTTTAAGTTCTTGGGGCACCGGAGCCATTTCTATGCTTCTACTAAGAACAGTTAATATCGAATGACACTGCTTTTAAAGAGAAGTTGCTCTTCATCTGCAGAAGTGCTGCTACTGAGGCAGTGTGGTCACACACACACTGGAGTTTGTGGGTGGTGGTGCCGAGTCGCCCACACTCTGTCACCTGAGCCCCCTTTGGATCAGCAGCAAACGTTTGCAGGACAGCTGGCTGGAATCATGGTAAGAGGCAGGATGCACAGAACACATTTGTTTTTGTTTTTTCATGTGATACTAAAGGGATAAATATCACAACTCTAGCATCATTAACACTGTATAGTTGGTTGGAATGTAAAATGATACAGTCATTCTTGAAATCAGTTTCTTTTTGAAAACTAAAGTTTATCTACTATATAAAATAAAACAAAAACCTTGTATACTATACAACCACTAAGCTACATGCTGATATGCATATTTGAATGGATTAATGGGACCTAATTCACTGTGGCATACTAGAACCATTTAAAAACTCACCAGTATCAGAATTTCTATGTGTATTGTATTCCTAAGAGGCAGGGGGGCCAACTCAGTGGTTTAAGAGAAAGAGACATAGGTTCTAGGCCTAAATGGACCTTTGCAGCATTAATAATTTCCCTTGGTCTCAGTCTTCATAACTGAAAAACAAGGGATTGGACTAGTTTACTGTTTCCCAAACTTACTGAATTTTAATCAGCTCACTAAGTGCTAGCTAAAATGATAGTTTTCTGAGTTGTGCTATTCAGCAGGGACAGGACCTGTGAATCCATGATTTTATCAAATGCTCCAAATAACTGACGTAAGAAAAACTGGAGAAACATCATATTGAGTGTTGTTTGATCTCCCTGCCCCCAACCTCAAAAAGCCAACTGTATAGTAGGCAGCAGTCACCACAGAATTTTAACACATTGGCCTATGAATGACTAAGGTGAGGGACTTGCCTATTGTAATAACAGAAAAATCTAAGAGATTAATTCCTTTAAGGACACACTATTTTGCTTTTATTGTATAACTAAATGCCAAAATGTACATTCTAGTACATTGAAACCAACAGATAGAACATAGCAATCCTAAAAGAAAGGCTTGTGACATCAATCTGAATGAAGTCTGTTAACCAGAGAGAGGGAAAGAAAGCAGTTTTATTTTCCTGCTTTCTAGTCTTATCTGTAGTTATGGAATCCCTTTGCGACATACTATTGTAAGATCTAGAGTGTGATGAAGTGTTATAGAAATCATGGAAATTTAGGCCTGGTATGATCACAGCTGTGAAGATTATGAGTGTGAGCCTATTAAAGAAATGAATATCAAACAATAAATTTTTTTAATACACACACACACATACACACCCCTTTGCTCAAGCCCAAACATCCACACATGCAAACACACTCCTGCCCCCCAAAATGTGAACACATGGACACCCCCTTCAGAACACATGCTGTGTCACACTCTCGACTCTGGGCTGAGTTTTTAGTTGATTAAACACATGAAACTGAAACTATCCAAATAAACTCTTTTGGCAGTTATTGAAAGTCTTTTGAAGTAAGCCAGAATGCCTCTACAGTCAGTGTTTCCATACTGAATCAGTCCCTGTCACAGTGATATTATGTTTATTTTTTATGTTGGAATGTAGATTTCTTCTTTCATTGCACCAGCTCTGCAAAGATAAAAATAAAGGTACTACGGCAACATTCTGTGGGTTTGAAGACCTCCTCCCTGGTGAAAGCTTGTGCTCTAACTCTTTGTACAATCTCTTTTTAATAGGATTGATTGGGCTGCTATTTTGTGGCAGTAATTTCAGAACTCTTCTATCCCCTCAAAAGGGGAAAATATTTCTTGCCTCTATGAAGCAATAAAACTTCTTAATACTTGGTGATTCCCTCCTTCCTTTTGTTTCCAGGGCCATGTGGTCTCTTTGAGCTTGTCATCTGTGACAGGAACTGACTGGGAGGGATCCATGCAGGGAACTCTAAAGGTAATTTTGAAGATTTCCCCAAGAGCTTGAGTTTCTTTGCTCAGAGGCCTTTACTGCTCAGAAGCAAAACGTTTTGATATACCAAATGTAGAACTTGGGTACAAGATACACCAAAATTAAATATATCCAAAAGTTAGCTCATGACTTTCTACACTTGCATAAAGCCACCCCCTTCCTTCAAAAGTCCCTGCTCTGGATAATGGAATCAAATTAAGTCTTGAAGTTGTAAGCTGAAGATATCCGCCCTCAGATCCTTCCCCACTCGCTAAATTCAGTTATTCATTTCATACTGTCTATTCTACCTTCAAAATAGCTCTTATTTGTCATCTCTTTGTTATAGGTAATGTGATGAGTTGAATGGTGGCACCTCACTCTAACACCCTGGACCTCTGAATGTGACCCCGCTTGAGATCAGACTTTTTGCAGATGTAATTAAGAATTTTAAAGTGAGACCCTCCTAGATTATAACAGTGGGTTTTAAATCCAATACAAGTGTCCTTACAAGACATGGAGGAGAGACACACAGGAAGAAAGACAGACTATGGGAAAATGGAATCTGAGATTGGATTGATGTAAGCCAAGGAAGTCCTGGAACCCCCAGAAGCTGGAAAGATTCTCCCCTCTGGGAGTATGATCCTATCGACACCTTGATTTCAGACTTCTGGCCTCCAGAACTGTGAGAAAATAAATTTCTGTTGTTTATAGCCACAAGTTTGTGGTAATTTGTATGGCAAACCTAGGAAACTAATGATAGTTATTTATACACCTGCCTAGATTTTAAAGTCTGGGCAGGAAAAGACAATAGATTTTTAAAAAATTAATAGACTTGGGTTTTTTTTGAGCAGTTATAGATTTACAGAAAAACTGACAAGTACTGAGTATTCTCATATACCCCCTCACCTCCAGTTTCCCCTATTATTAATGTCTTGCATTAGTATTATATATTTGCTAGAATTAATGAGCCAACATTGATACCTGATTGTTGACTAAAGTCCACAGTTGACATTAGGGTTCACTCTTTGTGTGTACATCCTGTGTTTTGACATATGTTTAATGACACGTATCTGTCATTATGCAAAATGATTTCTCTGCCCTAAAAAGCTCTGGTGATCCACCTATTCATCACCCCCGCCTCCTACTAGACACTGGTAAGCAGTGACATTTTTTTCTCCATCTGCCTTCTCTAGGTTGTCATATAGTAGGAATCACACACTATTAGCCTTTTCAGATTGGCTCCTGTCACTTAGCGATATGTATTTATGATCCCTTCATGCCTTTTCATGGCTTAATAGCACATTTCTTCTTCTTACTGAATAATATTCCATTGTGTGGATGTAAGAAATAGATTTTTATTTCATCTCTGTAGCCTTTGGAGAGTGGGTTTGTGTACTGAATTCTCTATCGTTTAATGTATTTTCAAGAAAAATGGATATTCCAAAATTCTGACTTTTTTCAAGGTATGTTTGAGTCATATTTATAAAAATGCTAGAAAATAATGCTAGAATAACTATTTTTAATAAAATGAGTCAGTTTATCTATTAACAACAGGTAGTACATAGTCAAATAGAAATATTTTGGGTGTCATTTAAGGTCTAAAAAAGCCAAATAGAGAAAATTCTTTTAGTATTAGAATAGTTTCAAGAAAGGATTCTTGAATAGCCCCATAAAGTTGTCAGCATGTAATATGATTTTGGGTGCAATTTATTTGTGGTGACGTCAGGGAGAATATAGGAAACACATCTTTCATGTAATTACACAGTAAATAATTTATGTTCAACCAAATTATTGATACATTGCAAGTAGGAAGGATTTTCCTCCCCCCACATTTAAGACTGTCCTTAAATAAACTACAAGTTCATGCTACCATCTGGCAATGAACAGAGCAGATTAATCATTTCCTTTTTGAATAATGAAAAAGTTCCCTTCAAAATGTCCCAAAAATATTGGACATGGAAAAAACCCCTAATATTTTGTTTATAATTTCAAATGGTTTTCAGTTATGAAATCCTACAATATAAACTTTCTTTGATCAAGCTAATATTACTTAGCTTTACTTGTTATTAATAAATGTGTTGTACTTATATCAGAAAAGTAATTTAAGAAAAGAGCAAAAGGAAAAATCCCAGAGCCTGATTTTCAGAAAATACAAATTGCTCAAACATAGCACCTTGGTTCCCCTTAGAGCTCCAGCCAGCCCCCTCCCACCTCTCACCAGGGTCTTTTGGTTTTGCAGTCTTCCCTTCCCCCATTGTTTATGATAAACATTTCTGGCACATTTATCATCTTTGGTAAAGTAAATTGTTAAAACCTGAGTTGCTGCCAGGTTGCTGGTGAACAGAGGAAAGAGCTGAAGTCTGTGCTTTGGAATAACCTTTTGTTATTTGGTAGACGCTTCTTTTCTGCCTGAGCAATCTTGTTTTGATTTTGCTTGTTTTTAAGCTTTGAGTTTTGCTACATACTTTGACATTTGACTAATAGAAAAATGTTTGCTTCTTTTCTTAGTCATTTTATGTCAAGTGATTCATTTCTTTTCTGCCTTTTTTTTTTGGTAACCTCAGGCATTCTTAGTGGAGCTTCATACCCATCACGCAGCTGTTAAAAAATCCCCACCACAATCCTAGCATGTGCATTTTGACAGTGTTATGAAACATGCCTATTTTAAAGTACTTAATACTTTCATGTATGTACAAACCTAACAGCATCTCTGAATCTATTGTCTGTCCCAGGGGTCAGAGCAGGCTGTACAAAAGACTGTCCTGGTACAATGACTTTCTAATGACTTGGATTATAAGTAGTCACTGCCTTTTTGTGTGTCTGCTATAGTAACTTTCCCCGTGTCCCACACCACCTTCTAAGTCACTTATTCAGTTTTTATTTATTTATTATTTATTTATTTATCTATATATTTATCTATTTATTTATTTAAAAGCATTTGTTTACCACTGCTTACTTGCCATACAATAAGTTAAACATTAGAACCATAAGATTCATAAGACATGGTCACTGCATTCAAGTAGCTCACACATCCTGAGGCACATCTTTGTTCAAAAGCAAGACAGACTGGTGTCAAAGACAAGAAAAATGGGAGTAATAACATCTTTCTCTGGAATAAGCATAACTAAAAATATAAAACTGTAATAAAGACAACTTTGAAAAGAAAAGAGACTTTCCGAAGTATTTTAGGTTGGGAGCAAACATTTGGATTTAAACACAAGGCATCCTAGAACCCACTCAAGTTGAATGACAAGGGTTTCCAGTGTCATTCTTGCAACAGTCTGCAACATACACCACATATTGATAGAGTTTGGAGCTCACCCAGTGGAGGTGCACGGGTTTGGGGTAGAGAGAGACAGAGGAGGAATAAAGGAACATAAAGGGAAGGTAAACTGCTGGAGTTTGAATATTTAGAAATCAGGTACTCTATCAGATTTGGAAATATCTTTCATGTCTCTTATCTGGGATCTTTTATATGTTCTCACCCTATACCCTCTTCATATTTGATCTCATTCTTTCCCTTGGCTTTAAGTATAATCTATAACTCCTAAACTTATTTTTCTGGCCTAGTAATATCATTGGACTTTCATATCCATATATTCAACTGCCTTGATATCACCATAGGGCATCTATCTCACAGGTTCTGACTCAACTGTAGGTTCTTTCAGATCTTCAATCTCCACCTCCAGTGCCCCCAGGTCACAACACCAAACATCTGATTTTTAAGCCAGAATACTGTTTTCATTTGTCTTTCTTGACACTTTCCTCTCTTTCAATATTCATAACTAATCCACTATTAAGTCCTGCGCATTTGACTCTGTTATAAATTTTGTTTCTTTTTTCACTGGTTTTCATCTTCACAATCACTGAGAGGCCTCTCTGATTGTATTTTGGCTCTTTCCCAAATCATTCTCAATATTGCCTCTCACACTCAAATAGATATTTTTAAAAAAAGATGTTACTTTGACTTCTTAAACTTCTTGGCCATTGATTCTTCAAAGACTTCCCATTATATTACACTAAAATTCAAAATCCTTAACAGAACCTTAAGGATCCTACATGATCCAGCTGCTCCTTACTTCTCCAGACAGGTCCTGAGCTACTCTCACCCATGTTCACTGTACTTCACGGTGGACTTCAAGTCCTTTAGAAGTCTTTCCTAACCCCCAAAGCTTCACACATGGTTTTCCTTCTGCCTGAAAGGTTCTTCTCCCATCACTTGCCTTTACATTTCCTTTTTATGACACTAATCTATATATTTTTTCACAAAACAAAAAGCCTTACCTTGAATTCCCCTGCAATAAATACCGCATGCTTCCCCTAGATCCTTGTTTCAGAGGTTATGTAAACGGCTGGGAGTATCAGCTATCAACTGCTTAGAGTTCCATCCGGCTTTCCCTGGAAATGGTTGCCTACAGAAGGCTATACCATGTCTGAGGCAGGAATAATAATTCCTGGCCCCTTGTCCCAGCTTGAGACAACTGAGTTCCATATAGTCATATAGGACTGATTGAAGCCTCAGGACACAAGATTGGGTTAGGCCTCCATTTTAACTTAATCACCTCTTTAGAGGCCCTATTTCTAAATACAGTCACAGTCCATGATAGTGGGGTTTATGGCTTCAAAATATGAATTTGGGAGGGAGACACAGTTCAACCCCTAACAGAGAGGGAGGGATGCTGTAGTTCTCCAGGACACATGAACCTTATATGCTGGTTTGTCCTTGATATCTCGAACACATAAGGCTGGAAACCAAAGAGTTGAAAGTACCCATGGCCCCACTTACCATCAGTCCAATTACCCACTTGGGCTCTCTGTCCCACCAGGGACACAATAAGAGCCTAATTTAACTTTCAATCTGAAAGTTGCTCCCTAGTAACTTCAGACTCCTTGTGTCAAGAAAATATCAGAATCCCCATTTCAGCAGGTATCTTGGCAAAAGACTCACCTTGATCATGCTACAAAATGAGACTGAAGGTATTTTGCTCAGGGGATTCACTGGGGTA